TAAGATTTACTTGTTTTTCTGCAGATACCAGTTATCCTGTGGGTTAAAGCAAACTGCTGCCTCTTGAGGGGAAAAAAAAAATCATCTATTTTCATATAAAAGAGCAACTCCAGCAAAAGCATCTCTGGGGCCCTCGTGCCCAGGATGTCCCTGTGTGTGGCTTGTTGCTCCCTGAGTGTGCAGAGCAGGGAATGGGACAAAGGGAGGGTGGAGGAGAAGGGATTACAATTTAAGCTGACAAGGAGCAGCACGTTTCCCCAGCTGCAAGCTGGCTTTAATAACTTGGTGTGCAGCTCCCACCATGAGCACAGGTTGCATTAAGCTGCTTTGGGCTTTACTCAGTGGCTAAAAAATCATATTTTTGTATCTTTGTTGCCTGTCATCACCTTTCCCCTGACACGTGTTTTATTTGTCACGGTTGGACTGAACTGAAGCCAAGGCAGGTGTCAAACATGTTCCTCACCTGAGAGTTTTGCAGCTGCTGCTCTGTTTGGAGCTTGTCCTCCAGCATCTTCTGAAGGGCCTCTTTTGCCTTCTGCTCATAGGTCTGCTTCTGGTCCTCCATCTCTATCAGGATCTTCTTCACACACTCCTTTGAGTAACTCTTTAAAGGGAGAAATGAAGTGCTTGAAGGGTCTTCCCTGACAGATTCCTAACCTTGTTAAACCTGAATATTAGCAAATCCAGAGTGTGTAAATGCTGCTGCCTATTTGCTGTGGAGCAGAGAGGAAAAATCCTTTTTGGATATGTATCTAATCTGGATTGATCTGGAAACTGAGACCCGACCCAATGATGTGGTTTGGTCTTTTTTCATGCCTTTTTTTTTGCCCCCCTGTGTTTCTCAGGGGCTCAGACATTACCTGGGTGCAAGCCTGCAGCTGATTTTCGAGGGCCCTTAGTTTGCACTTCAGTTTGTCTTCGTTCAGCTGACCCTGGGGAAAAAACCAATTGAACTGACATGTGAAACCAGGAACCACCCAATATGCCCCCAGTGTTTTGTTAGTTTGTGTTTTGATTCATTTTCTCCCTTCATCTGTAATATTGTGGCTAAATTGGATCAAAGTCTCTTCAGTGCTGAATTCAGGTAAACTTTTGTGATCTCTAGATAAATGGGGGAAGCAAAAGTTTTATGGACTGAGAAACTGTGCTGAGGCAGTTTCACTGGTTGCTGAGTGCAGGTGCTGGCAGTGAAATTATAAGTTAAGAGGCAGGGGGTTTGAGTCTGGAAGGGTCCCTGAGCACAGCCCTGTTCCCTGGCTCGTGGTCTCTCCCTGCCCAAAGCTCCCTCTGGTGTGACAGCCCTGACTCGCTGGTTTCCTTAGGAAATAGGTCGGGTCTGTGTTGCAACGTCTTGCAGTTGGGCAGGGGGACAGAGGGCAGCAGTGATGATTCATTTTGCTTGTTATCATCATCTCAGTGTTAGTCAGGCTGCTTGGGCTCCGTGAAACCAGAGTGCTGCAAATTCAGATAAAATTTCCAGCAGAGAGTTCACACAGGCTGTTTTTTTCCACCACCAGTGCTGAGAACACCAGTACCCTCTCTGCTCACTGATGTTTGAAGTCACACCTCTGAGAAGAAACTCCTTGATGTTCCAGGAATAGCTGTTAGACCCAAGCAAAAGCAGATTCCCCCGTGCCTTAGCACTGTTTAAATTTGCACAGAAGCACGTTTAGAGCCCCAAAGACTAAATCTCCCCAGTTCAGTTGTTGGTGCAAAGAGCTAAAGGCTCAGGAAGTAAGTGGAATTTTGAAAAGCAGTTTCAGATGTGAAATGTTATGCCTAGTTTTCCTCAGTGGTTTATCTTACTCTGCCTGCAGAGGTTCATGTTGGAGGGTGGTGCTGTTCCAGCTGTTGTGCACAGATGTGACTGTGCTGTGGACAAGGCAACTACGCTTTGGAGCAGAAATCATGGAATCAAAGAATGGTTTGGGTTGGAAGGGACCTTAAAGATGTAAATTCCCTAAATGGAATAAGCTTTCCCCAGAAAAGTGATGTGAGCAAACCTTGGTCAAGCCCTTATGCTGAAGATTAACTACATGAAAGGGGCTGTTTCAGAGGAAAAAAAAAAACCCCAAAACAACTCCTCAAGTCCAACCAAACAAAAAACACACACACAAATAAATACAGCAGCAAAAAAACCCCCAAACCCTACAGCCACCATCATCAAGAGAGCCCCAAGTCACGTCCTATAAGCCAGGCAGGGGTGAGGATTAGGGCTAATATGCTCAAAATACACCCCCTGTGGCAAATACCATATTTTTTTACATTTCCACAGCCCTGTTTTTCAGAGTCTGAGGTGACCTGAACAAGCAGCTCCAAATCTCAAACTCTCCTGCATTTCTCCACTGCTGTCATTTAAGTGCCATGTAAGTCTTTTAAACTGCTTTTGGCTGACAGCTGCAGTGTTTTGGTTGTCCTGTGATTGGGGAATTCTCTGATACTGCCTCCCTTAGTCATTTTAGAGAGCTGGTGTAGGGTTATAATAATAAATGCCATTTCTGGAAAGCTTCCAGTTTGCCCAAGCATGATGCTTGTGCTAGAAAAATAAGTCCATATAGCAGCAGTGATGTGCTGGAAATGGCAAAGAGCTTAAACTCTGCAGAGCAGTTTGAGTTATTTCCAAAAATCAGGCTCAGCTTCAAATGCCAGGAGGAGGAGAAAAATACACTAAAGCAGCAATTTTCTTTAAGAGGAGAATAGCTTAAAATTAATTACTCTTGATAATCATAACCAAGGCTCTCTCAGCATCCCTCATCTGGCAGCGTTGAGTTTTGCAGCAGATGGGGGATTTAAGGCACAGAGCTGGGGTAGGAAGAGCTCTCTGAGCTAAAAGAGAAATCGTGGGAGGGGGAAGGAGGCACCAAATGCTTTATCCCTTCACTTTGGCACCCCCATCCTCCTGCAGAGTGTTCACCTGCTCCATGGAGCCAGGAGCACCCAGGAGCACCAGCAGCACCTCTGGAATGGGCACAGAGTGGTTTCTGGAGCTCCAATATCACCCATGTGTGTTCAACAGCAGGTTCTTGAAACTCAAAATACTGGCAAAGATTAAAAAGCTGCCGCAACAAGCACTTGGCATCTCACCTGGGCCCGGGAAAAGGCAGCCAACCCTCAGCTTGTCCTGTCCCTCCCTCCCTTTGCCAGCACCTCCTGTGGCTCCAGGAATTCCCCTCCCAGCAGCACCACTGGCTCCAGCCCCCAGTTAATTTTTAGGCTGCTGAAAGGTTGGATGCAAGAGGCAGCAGCAG